TTTTTGGAGACAGAGTCTCGCTTTGTTGCCCAGGCTGGAGTGCAGAGGTGCAATCTCGGCTCACTGCAATCTCCACCTCCTGGGTTTAAGTGATTCTCCTGCCTCAGTCTTCCGAGCAGCTGGAACTCCCAGCTAAATTTTTGTATATTTAGAAGAAACGGAGTTTCACCGTGTTAGCCAGGATGGTCTCAATCTCCTGACCTGTGATCTGCCAGCCCAGCATCAGCCTCCCAAAGTGCTGGAATTACAGGCATAAGCCACATCGCCCAGCCTAAGGATGCTGAATTTAATTTGGCAGAGGCAAGGGGATGAAAAAATTAGGCCTGCAAAGCCTAAATGAGGGAGGTGGGTAAGGAAGAGTGGGAAGATTATGCTTTCAGTCTTGTTTCATAACCATGCATTCCTGAAGGTAAAGAATGGAAATAAGATGAACAGAGGTTCTGTCAATTGGTCAGTTACTTGGAGTGAGAAGCCCTATTGAGGTATCCCTTTTCATCTTTAGGCAAATCCCTGGGGTTCCTTCATGGGCACCTGGCAAATGCCTCTGAAGATACCCCCCGCTCGGGTGACGCTGACCTCCCGTACAACTGCTGGTGCTGCCTCCCTTACCAAATGGATACAGAAAAATCCTGATTTACTCAAGGCCTCCAATGGGCTGCGTCCTGAAATCTTAGGCAAGGTATCTATTCTTCCCATCTAACCCCAAACCCTGTTCTCAATTTCATTTCAATCTCAAAAAATGTATATTGTTATGCCACCACTATCCCAGCAGGGGGGACCTCTAACCAATTCATCTTATCCTGACTAGTCCCTAATCACCTTCTGAGGCCTGAAGGAATGGGCTAAGGACATCTTACCCCGAACAGTAGAAAATGATCTAATCTCAAAGTGGGGGTGGGTAATTAGAGAAATCAAATTTCAATTTTCTTATTTGAAACGATCTACTGCCCATGGTATGGGGAGAAAGGGAGTTCGAATCCTGAGGTACATTGGGAATGATCTGGGCCTGACCAGAGACATGACTGTCTATTCCACTCTACCACTGACAGTCCCATGATCCAGACAGTCAGAAGACACTCAGGAAGAAGTCTATCACAAAGACTGTACAACAAGCACCAAGTCCAACCGTAATTCCACGCTCCCCAGCTGCCAACCTCAATTCCCCAGATGAACTCCAAAGCTCACACCCCTCTGCAGGTCATACTCCAGGTCCCCAAAGCCCAGCAAAATCCTAACAGCCCACCTAGAAGTCCACATATGCTAGAACTCTAGGCAGGGCCTAAGCTAGCTGAGGTCCAGAAACACAAACCTTAAACTTCATATGGACAAGGTAGCCACACACTGAAAAACCTGTATAGCAACTGAGTGAAATAAACAAGAGCCCCCAGGCAGAACTGTAGAACAGGGAAATTTTGGGGTGGGAGTAAAAGCAAATTTGGAAAATAAACATTTTTTGTTGAATCTTTTACTGATCTGGATTTTCTGTTCTTGCTATGGCTGCCTCTTGTAACACAATTAGGGGAAAGAAGGTGGGGGAAAATAAAGTAGGGAAAAGAACATACCGTGGTTTGGGTGTAACACATTTTTACAAGAATTGAGTCAGTTATACTCCAGAAATGACCAAGAGAAAGTTGGTCTGAATCATGGAAAGAAGGCAGAATCTCAAAAAACCAGTCCCTCACCTCTACCCACTCATTTTTTATCCTGAGCACATATAATTAATGACTTCAAAATCAGAAACAGAATTGTTGAACATAGTATGTGTATGTGTGTTTGGAGGTGGGGAAGAAAAGGTAGAGAAAGCCAAAGGAGAAGATACTAGCTTATGTAAGACTTTGTATCTAAGCATAAGTACAAATATAGTTTGAAAATTGAAGATATTAAAGTGATTGGAAGACAGAGAAGAAAAACAAAGATGGTAAGTAGAAATTTAAGGCATGATGATCTGTCTCACCTCCCACCCACCCACTACCATGCTTCAAACACCGAAATGGTAAGAAAGCACCAAAAAATTCATCTGCCCTACCCATTTTCTAGCCGCCAACATCTGTTTATCATTGACCTCATTTTACATTTTCCTGGCACTGGCTGTTAAATTTAATGCCCTTGCCAAACCTTTCCCAGTCCCAATGACGAAGTGTTCTTTCATGATCACTTGTCCCTAATTCCAAGGACAAAGTAGAGAACAGCTCATTTAAAATGGAGGAAAGGTACAAAGACTTCCCAGGGCCCCTCTAGTAAAAACAGAAAAGCAATCATTACTTAAAGCCAAATACTATTTGGGACACTGAATGAAGACTATTGAAGCAGCAGGTCCGCACCTTAAGTAAGGTCTTCCTATCCAACTGACACCAGCCAGTTACTGTTTCCCCTCTTCAACCCACGCTTTAACTGGTTGGCCAACAACTCAAAGTGACAGATGAGATAGGTCATTCCAGAGTTTCCGAAAACTATCAAACAGCATACCTGCTAAGGCCTGGCCTATATGGATTTTAAAAGCAGCAAGTTTTCTCGTTATACATTTTTTGCCAGGTTTTCAACAATCCCGTCTCTTTTTTAATCTCTATTCTCCTTTCTCCCCAAGCCTGTATCTTCAGGTCATCATCCCTTAGCTATCACCAACACTAGTCCTCTGTGCCCCTGACTGAATCATAATTTGCTGTATTATACCATCAAGCTTATAATCAGTCCTGAATGGGATTTTGGTGCCTGTAATAACTCAAAAGCACTCTACATGCATCACTTCTTTTTCTCCTTCCTTCTCTGAGGCTTCTCTGTGATAGTTAAATCTCTGGCTAAGTTCTATTTGATTTCCCTGAAAATTTTTCCAGTTATGAGATGTAGGAAAACTGAAGACCAAAGGGAAGAGGAGGAAATTGATCCCTTCCCAACAGCCATTTTCTTGGTTTCTCTAGATTTCAAGGAGAGTCAAAGATAAAATGAGAATTTTAATTCAATTTCAGAAAAAAATGGTATATGACTTGGATAAGAAAGCATAAAATTAGGAGGCTTTTCTGGAAATGCAAGAAAAAGAAATAACCTTTAATATGTTCAATGATAATTTTCTGGATTTTCCTCTTGTGTCAAAAGCTATATATTTTCTCCTCAAAGCAGCTGCTCTAAGAACTAACTAGCCCTCTTTATCTCTCTCTAGCTGGGATAGACTAATTCCCCTCCACCCCCACCTCTCTTCTTTCAATAACACTGCGTAGGTGTTAATGGCCTGGGCTCTCACCAATGAACAGAATTGTCCTTTAAGCCAGCAACCCACAGGCAGTGGCACCCAAAGCCTCACCCCCAGTTCCCAGGGCAGAAGCCACAGGGCTGGCATTGTTTCCACTGTCTCAGGAAAAAGGAGCCAAAAGCTGACCCTCAGCATAAATCAAAGCCCAATATGGAGAGGGAATAACTGCTTCTAGGCCCAGAGTAGGCAAGCTGTGGGCATAAAAGGGGAGTTTTTGCAGCCACCTCATCTTTAGAAACAAGGGGCAAATTAGACCCTTTTCCACTATTATGGTCTACAAGGTACTCTACTGCTCCAAGGGGATCTGAAAGCCCAAAAGGATCTAAATGAGTAAGGATAACTTTTCGCAGGCTGGAGATAAGAGTGACAAACAGAAAGATGGGTGAATGTAATAATGTGTAGGAAGATGATGCTGGGAACCTCCATTCTTCACATGGCTGCCAGCCCTAGAGAGGACAACACAGTAAGAACCAGAACAACCACTCCAGACTGGTATAGCTGGGGAATCTTCAGGCCTTTTCCTAGGTCCCACATCAAGTGTCGGATCCCATTCCAGGTATGATACATGAGAGGAGAGACGAGTGCAAACTTAGCTGTGTGGATCAGTGCTGGCTCCAGATACAGGGACTTCATGAGTTCCAAATAAGACTCAAAGTTCCCAGGGAGTAACAGGGCTGACATGCCAAAAAGAGAGACCCCTGCACTCAAAGCAATACCAGTGCCACGGTGGCAGATGGACATCACAATGGGAAGAGACCAACTGTAGATAGTGATGTGGGGAGATAAGGGACGTTTGGAACCTGTGTTCTTATTCCAGAACCGCTCCATCTCTTCTTTGGCTGTGGTTCCCAAAGGAGCAGCATTTCTGACACAGAGCTGAGGGCTAAAGTGGTTTCGGAGGCAATGACGACTAATGTGTCTCAGCAAGAACGCCGCCGTCTCGGGTTAATTTTTTATATTTTTAGTAGAGACAGGGTTTCACCGAGTTAGCCAGGATGGTCTTGATCTCCTGACCTCGTGATTTGACCACCTCGTCCTCCCAAAGTGCTGGGATTACAGGCATGAGCCCCCGTGCCCGGCCAGATCTTTTTCATTTTCCCTTTTGCTACCAGCAGGAGAAAACTGCCTTTAAAGGGCTGTAGTGATGAGGTTAGCCTGCCTGGATAATCTCCCTTTTGCCATGTAATATGGTGTTGATATGGGAGTAGCACCAGGGATTGAAGGTCATGGGGACCATCTTACAATTCTGCCTACCATAGATGCTAGGAAAATCCTTGACAAACCTTGCACAGATTGACTATGTACACACAAGTATTCAACTAAGCATGTATCATTAAATTTGGTTTTTCTTTTTAGGACACTTCTCTTTTTGAAACTTACGATGTTGAGCTTGTTAAAAAAGATGGGCAGAGCCTTGGAATTAGAATTGTTGGCTATGTTGGAACATCTCATACAGGTAAATGAATAATTTTTTTTCTTCCTTTTTTTTTTTTGAGCATCTCACAGATCCATTATTCATGCCATGAAGTAAACGGTACTCATACGAGTGTATAGTGATGTTCCATGCGCCCCTTCTAACATGGCTTGCTCAAATTTATAGGCAGACTGACGTTTTCTTTCACATGTATTCCAAGTAAGCTGGTTAATGATGATCACGAGCAGAAGCTGCGGCTTTCTCAGCCTTATATCTGTTATTGGCGGCATGGAGTTTATAAACAATGAAGCCCATCAGCCCCATTCTTACCCAAATCTCCTGGTAAACTTGGGTATAGTAGGGTTTCAAGGGGAGCCACATATTTTTAATAAAACTTTGAAGCATCTTGGCGCAGGAAAGATAGCTCAGGGAGCACCACAAACCCTCACCCCAAAAATGAATAATTTCTATTTTATATTTGGAAATAATTGTAAAGGATGTTAAGGTTTCTAGATAGTAAAATTAAATACTTGCAGATTTTAATTTAAATCTTGAACCATAAAACCATGAATCTATAATAGCAGCCAGTCACTTCTCAGTGATTACAGAATCACATTTTTATCTCAATAGTTTTATAGCTGGCTTGATAGTCATTAACAAAAAAATATAATTGGTCAGCTCAGTGTATAATATTTGAATTGTACCTTCTTTGTTTGTAAAATAGATATGTTGTGAATATTGTTAACGTATTATGATAGATTAGATTTGTGATAAGTAAATTGATTACTGTGTATATTTCATATTGTGAATGTTCCTAAAGTATGACTATTATGTTTTATCACTAAAAAAATAAGTTAAAACAAGCATTTTTGTTAGAACTGTTTTCCTTTCCTATAAAAGGAATAAACTGTGAGAATAAATACACAGTTAAAGTATCTCTGAATGAAACTCCCTCAACTCCTATCTGCAAAGCTTTGATAGCTTTCACTATAAGATTTATTCCCTTATTGTAAGAGAATTATTAGGGTAAGAAAAATAAGCCTTTCCGCAAATATTTGCTAATAATATGAAAATTCAGAGTTATAAAATGTTCTAGTTTTTTTAATAGCAAGATTACAGAGTTAATTTCCTAAAAAACACTGTTATTTTGCATACTTACAGCAGGTGAAAGGATTAAGAGTGCTAATGTATTCAAAGTCCTGAATGAAATTCATGTCAGACCACCTTGTGCTATTTTAGCCTGATGAAATATCTTTTTTCAAATCTTTAGATTCTAAGTGCCACCTTTATTTAGGTTCAGAATTTAAATGACATTCAGAAGAGCTAAGTGTGGATTGTATAATAATGTCGCAAAAAAACACATGAAGTAGTTTTTAATAGGCTAAGTCTGGTTAGAGGAATCATGATTTAGTTCGTAAACTTATGGTTTAGTTCCTAAGTGAAAGTGAATGGTTAGTGGTTTAGTTCCTAAGTGAAGGTGAATTTAAAAATTTAATGTTTATATTGCTGAATAAAGGAAAGTATCATTTTACTATTTTGCTGCTGCTTCTTCTTCCTTTTTTTTTTTTTTTTTTGACAGAGTCTCACTCTGTTGCCCAGGCTGGAGTGCAGTGGCGCAATGTTGGCTCACTGCAACCTCCAACTCCCAGGTTCAAGAGATTCTCCCACCCCAGCCTCCAATTAGCTGAGACTGCAGTCATGTACCACTACATCCATAAAATTTTTGTATTTTTAGCAGAGACAGGGTTTCACCCTGTTAGCCAGGGGTCTCAAACTCCTGACCTCAGGTAATCTATCCGCCTTGGCCTCCCAAAGTGCTGGGATTACAAACGTGAGCCATCACACCCGGCTCATTTTACTTCTTTACCCTCAAAAGCTCTTTTTTTTTTTTTTTTGAGACAGAGTCTAGCTCTGTCGTCAGGCTGGAGTACAGTGGCGTGATCTCAGCCCACTGCAGCCTTCGACTCCCAGGTTCAAGCGATTCTCCTGCCTCAGCCTCCTGAGTAGCTGGGATTACAGGCATGCACCACCAGGCCCAGCTAATTTTTGTATTTTTAGTAGACACGTGGTTTCACCATGTTGGCCAGGATGTTCTTGATCTCCTGACCTCATGATCTGCCCACCCCCCCTTCCCAAAGTGCTAGGATTACAGGTGTGAGCCACTGTGTCCCGTCTCAACATACTTTCTAGCAAGTAGTCTTTGAAAATCATTTTTGCTCTATTCTATTCATTGGACTTTTGAGGAGTTCTGGAGAGAGTAAAAATGAGTAAGATAAGTCTGTTCAGGGAGAAACATGTAAGCAGCACTTAGTTCTTTTTAAAAAAAATTATTATTATTTTTTTTTTCTGAGATGGAGTGTTACTCTGTTGCCAGGCTGGAGTGCAGTGGCATGATCTCGGCTCACTGCAACCTCTGCCTCCTGGGTTCAAGTGATTCTCATGCCTCAGACTCCCCAGTAGCTGTGACTTTGGGTGCCTGCCACCACACGTGGTTCACATCCTGCAGATGTGAAATTTGCAGATATGGGGATCAAGCAAACTATCATGGTATGGCAGATGACATACTGAGTTTGTCAGAGGGAAAGGGAGAATTCACAAAGAAGGTGGCATTTGAGTTATGAATGGAAAAGAAGAATGCTTTTGGTAAGTCAAAGTCATGGCACTCCAGCCTGGGGGACAAGAGCGAAACTCTGTCTCAAATAAAAAAGAAATCATGTGTACTTTTCTTATTTCTGTGTCTGCGAAGCTCACATGAGCAGTGAACTAAATATAACCAGGAGAACCTAGGAGACTCTTGTCATAGATATTGTAAAAAAATGATGAAATCGCTGGGTATGTTGGCTCACGCCTGTAATCCCAGGACTTTGGGAGGCCGAGGTGGGCAGATCACGAGGTCAGGAGTTCGAGACCAGCCTGACCAACATGGTGAAACCCTGTCTTATTAAAAATACAAAAATTATTGGATGTGGTGGTGTGGGCCTGTAATCCCAGCTATTCAGGAGACTGAGGCAGGAGAATTGCTTGAACCTAGGAGGCAGAAGTTGCAGTGAGCTGAAATTGCACCACTACACTCTGGCCTGGGTGACAGAGCAACTCTATCTCAAAAAAAAAAAAAAAAGAAAAAGAAAATGATGAAGTCTTATTCCACATCAGCAGTAAGAGTAGAGACAAACTGAGAGAGTCAGACTTACTCTGGACTCTGAATTTCAGCTTAGATTAGAGTACATTTCATCAGGGTTCCATTACTGATTATTTTTCCAGAAGAGTAGTCATCAGTCAAATCATTTCGAATTCAGGTCACTTGAGATGGTGACAGTTTGAAGTAATCCATCAATTTCTCTGCTTGTGTTCAAAATAGTATTTATCAAACCTCCAGTCAACCCTGTTAACTAATTAACCTCTTGATACAAATTTTGCAATCAAGCCCTAATTAGAATTTTCTTCCTTTTTCTGTATGTCTGTGCACCTTAAGGGGAAGCTCCAGGGATTTATGTGAAAAGTATAATACCTGGCAGTGCTGCGTACCACAATGGCAACATTCAAGTGAATGACAAAATAGTTGCTGTAAGTAACTAGCCTCTGTTTTAGATTTGATTCTAGTTGAAAAAAGACTGATCGTTATTGTAATATATATGTGAGAGGAGGATGGCTTAATATAATTTTATAAAGGTTTTTAAAAATTAAGCTTGGACAGTGAAATCTCATTATTTTGGACTCTTCTTATATTTAATTTTTTTTCACTGTCAGTGAAGAAAGGATTCACTAAACATATTGGTACAAAAAATATATTTTTCTATACATATATGTTTGAAAGATGTTCTAGCATTTTTCTAGAAAACACTCGAGTACCACACTGTGTTCTTCGAACTCACCCATTTTATGTATAATGAATAGACCGTTAACTTGCTCTTTTTATCTTTTTGTGAAGGTAGTTTTTCTGTTAGCAATAATTATGCGTACAACTAAAATTGAGATATTTTACATATCTGAGAATATAATAATAACCTTTTATCAATTAAAACTGGCCTTTCCCCCATTTAGTAGAAATTAGTTCAGTTTATGTATACATACGTATTAATGTCTATACACATGTATACACACACATTGCTTAACATAGAAACAAATATTGGGTGGTATGATTTGAATCCTTGCCCTTCAAATCTGTCTAAGGCAGCACATTTCATGACTCTTGGCTTTAAAAGCCTTATGGGACAGTTGAAATACTTACAGCTAGCACAAAGAAGATTGAGAGAGGAAGCCTACTGGTTCTGATAGACTTCAGGAATTGGGCTTGACATAGATTAAGAATACTGTTCTTAAAAAAGAATACTTTTTCAGAAAGATGGAAGACCTACTGGAGGGAGATCAATGTGTTTCTTGAAAATATCATGTGGTGTGAATACAGGGATGAAGTATTAGATGACCTCTTTAGTTTTGGTAATAATGGTTTCTATTAATACATCTTGAGAGCTGTATGTAATAACTGACCATCTTTTATGGCCTTTTGAATTTCGAATTACATCAGAGATTAAAATCCTTTATATCTCTCAGGCTATTAGTTTAAGTGACTAAGTCAGGAGTACAAATTTGAATTTGCTTTCTAGTGTGTGAGGAAGTTTCTCAGCATGTTTTACTAGTTTTACATCTTTATTCATTTAAAAAATACATCCTAAAGTCTAAATTATTTATTTATTTACTTACTTACTTATTTCTTGAGACTGAGTCTTGCTCTGTCGCCTAGGTTGGAGTCCAATGGCACAATTTTGGCTCACTGCAACCATCACCTCCCAGGTTCAATCGATTCTCCTGCCTCGGTCCCCCAAGTAGTTGGGTCTATAGGTGCGCACCACCACGCCTGGTTAATTTTTGTATTTTTAATAGAGACAGGGTTTTACCATGTTGGCCAGGCTGGTCTCAAACTCCTGACCTCGGTGATTCACCCACCTCGGCCTACCAAATTGCTGGGATTACAGATGTGAGCCACCGCACCTGGCCTAAATAATTTATATTTGGAATGAAAGGATTTGCTTCATTTTATTCATTGTTGCCAGAGTTAAAAATAATAGCTAACTTGAAACCTCTGTTTAATGTTTCTCTCGATGTTTTAGGTCGATGGTGTGAACATTCAGGGTTTTGCCAACCAGGATGTTGTTGAAGTATTACGAAATGCAGGGCAGGTGGTACACCTCACCCTAGTTCGAAGGAAGACATCCTCATCTACTTCTCCACTTGAATCACCTTCAGACAGAGGTGATTAACGCTGCCACCCCTCTATCTCTCAAGTAGTTTGCATTTGGAAGAAGAGTTCAGTTATGGAAGTTGCTCCATGGGTCTCAGCAAGAAATGTTGTCCCACCTCGTGTGATGCAGTGATGGAGAAATGAGTCAGCTTATTTGTTCATTGAGGAAGTGTTTCCTTTGCTTATTATGTCAGTCAGAGTGGTAGGATGTGCACCCTGACATGCACTAAGCTGTGAGAGCATCTCTAAATAGAGATGAAAATCATTTTTTCTAAAAGCTTTCAAATTTCATTGATTACATATATTTGAATAATAAAGATTTGACGCCATTTGTCTAATGCTTTGACATTTTATAGACTTTAGGTTTCCTGTTACTTTTGTTTTTGAGACAGTCTCACTGTCTTGCCCAGGCTAGAGTGCAGTGGCACGATCTTGGCTTACTGCAACCTCTGCCTCCTGGGTTCAAGCGATTCTTGTGCTTCAGCCTCCAAGTAGCTGGGACTAGAGGCATTGCCAGCACAGCTGGATAATATTTTTTTGTACTTTTAGTAGAGACAGGGTTTCACCATGTTGCTTAGGCTGGTCTCAAACTCCTGACCTCAGGTAATCTGCCTGCCTTGGCCTTCCAAAGTGCTGTAATTACAGGTGTAAGCCACTGTGCCAGCCAAGTTTCCTATTACTTTTAGCAATATATTTTATTCTAATCTGCCTCTTGATTTACTTTTTGAAGCATAGTGAAAGAAAATAAAACATGTATTTGTATTTTTTTTTTGGACAGGTCTCACTTTGTTGCCCAGGCTGGAGTGCAGTAGCACGATCATGCCATCAGCCTTACATCCTGGGCTCAAGTGATCCTCCCACCTCAGCCTCCTGAGTAGCTGGTATCACAGGCAAGCACCACCATACCCAGCTAATTTATTTTTATTTTTTTTTGTAGAGATGGGGTCTTTCCTGTGTTACCCATGCTAGTCTTGAACTCCTGGTCTCACATGATCCACCTGTCTTGGCCTCCTAAAGTACTGGATTACATGTGTGACCCACAGTGCCTGGCTGCATGTCAATTTTTAATTATCAACTTATAAATGTATAGATGAAAAGAAGTTGATAATCATGGAAACACATATTCAATTTAGAATGAGTGACTTACTGCCTGTAGTAATTCTAGCCATGCTTGGTGGTTCACGCTTATATTTCCAGCACATTTAGAGGCCAAGGCAGAAGAATCACTTGAGGCCAGGAGTTTAAGATTAGCCTGACCAACATAGACCACTTCTCTACAAAAAATTAAACATTAGCTGGGCCTGGTGGTACCCACCTGTAGTCCCAGATACTCAGGAGAGCTATGGCAGGAGGATCGCTTGAACCTAAGAGTTTGAGGCTGCAGTGAGGAAAAAAGGTGTCACTGCATGCCAGCCTGTGTGACAGAGTGAGACTTATCTCTTAAA